ATATATATATATATATATGCTGACAAGCATTGGAGAAAGATGAGCAAGCCAACCAACACAAACATGGGTTATAAACAACTTAAATATTTGAAGCAAATAGAAAAGGTCAAAAATATAATCCCAAAACATGAACCAGATACAGACGATTTCTAGCTCAAGCAAAGAAATCTCACATGCCAAAATGGTGAAAAATAAAAATCTCGTCCTAGATACGTACACGAAATAAAAAACTCCGAGCAGAGGATACCATAATAACCTAAGCCAGGTGAACATAGCTCCCACAAACTATTAACACTGCTCTCTTGGGTAGAACAACGAAAAACAAATTAATTGGCACGGCTTTTGAAGACATCAAGGCCCATCTCGGTTGGGTCGGTCGCCTGTAACTCAACCTGAATCCCATCCAATTCCCTCTTGAACCTGTCCTTTGAGCTGGCGTAAATCATCTTGCTCCTCACTTTGGCTGTGTCAGGGGACCTTGCACAAAAACGCACAAGAGGGAGGGTCAGACCAAAAAAACCAAAGAATTCAGCCGATACGAACAAAATTATATTGATTATAAACTTACCAGGCGATGAAGAAAATCCTGCTCTTTTGGACATTCTCCTTGGTGACAAAGTCGAAATCGAAAACTGCGTACCGGCACTCCTCGGCAGGTAGGCTTGCAGTGAAGTCCTCGTAAGTCTCAGTTGGTTCACCGAGCTTCTCGACGATGACCTGTTTCTGCTTCTCCTCAATCTTGAACACTATGAAGCGGTGGGCCCGCTTGGCCTTCAGCTCCATGAACTTTAGCTTGCACTCGTCGTGCACTGCCATCCCTGATGCTGCATTAGCCTACAGACATCACAAAACAAAAGCTTGAAATTCAATAGATATCAATACAGATTTCAAGTAACTGCAACCCCCTTTTTTATGTTTCTATAACTGTGTGGCTACCAATAATGAAATCCATAACTATGAATGGTACTAGACGGGCGTGCTGAGGGTGATTAATTTAGAGGGTACACTTCAATTTGTTCCTCATAATAAGTGAAGCAAGAGAGAGACACAAACCCCACATCCATGCACAAGAAGAAAACAAAAACCCATTTCAACTTGCTCATTGCTTGTTATTAGGTCATCTAACTAATTTCCAATTTACGTCATAAATTAAGTTTGGCATAAATGACAAAAGGATCACCAAAAAGTGCAGTGCCATTTCCTGCTCAAGCCATCTTATGGCTAAAATTCTAGTCTCCACATGAACACGCAAGGAGCTTGAAGATGTTACTGAAATAGGTACATTGTGATGTTCGACAGACAAATAGAGACTATAATTGGCTAGTGATAAATTTGCCTGTCAAAACTATTAAATAACATCAGAAAGATACTGGTTAAAAATTAAATTTCTCCATCTGCATCTCTCCTGTGAAGCACCAATGTACCAGAGATTGTGAAGCACCAATGTACCGGAGATTACAACAAAAAAAAAAAAAGAAAAAGAATATTGAAACTAAACCAACAATAAAAGAACTAAACTCTAAGAGATCACCGCAACAAGCAAAATATGCAAAAGTAGCACCAAGCAAGGCCCAACTGTGTTACCAACAAGTTAACAAAAATTTAAAATTCTTGAATGAGAGCTTTCTATCATCAAATGAACTCTTCACTAGTGTTTAAGACAATTCTGAAAAAGACAGACAGACAGCACAGACACCCACTCATGGTTAGAAAACTTTCCACAACCAAAACTTTCTTTTCTGCTACAAAAGACAAACTTCACGGGTTCATTACACTATACCTGAGAACCCAAAAAAGAGAGTCGATATCATGAGAAAATACAGATACTATGAAAGCAACTAAATTGTAAGACAAAAGAACTTGGATTGGCAATTCACATTTCCTCAGTGAAAAGTTACCAAAAATTGAAAGCAAAATGCCTTTGTTACAGCTAAATATGTGCTCTTTGACAAAGTGGTGCCTACTGCCTAGTAGAAGAAGAAGAAGAAGATCTGAATTTGAAACTCTCTGTGTATATCCAGCTTTTCATATTACTATCATAGACATTTCATGCGGGTCAAGGTACAAGCATGTTAAGCCATTATGGTTTTATGTTATTAATGGGGCGTGATGACAGAACGAGGATTTCACTAATTGTAACATCTTATTTGTGCGCTGGGAGATTTTGAAGCGGCCTCGTAGAAAATCTTGGTATGGTAAAAGATCCCTTATTTGAGAAATACTCCGAGACAATCCAAGAGTTATAATTTATACTCCTATCCAATGAAACAACAAGTTGAAATACATACTTTCTTAAAAAAAGAGCTGAATGGTAATGAAGGAATTTTGAAAGTTTTTCTGCATTATCAAAAATTGTAAACATGAGAACAACTTTTGCATGCCCACATGTAACAAACTGACCAGAAATCCAAAACAATTTACCTTTGTTTCAAAAATTTGATTTTCATGGACAAATTCATTGCCAATCTATATATATATAATTGCTAGCTCATGAGCATTTAATAAAACCTATTAAATTATACCTATGTGGCAAAATAATTTTTTCCCTCCAAAAACCGTTACTTTTTATTTATTTAACCTCTCATTTAATTATTAGATAATCAACACACTAATCACTTCAAAATTACAAAAATCATTTTAAATTTTTTATTTTTACAACTAACCATATAATGTGTTGACAATTTAACGTGAGTAGATGTTATTGTTGTGGTTACATCTCAATTAACTTCTCTTGAAAACGTATTTGAAATTCCTAAATAAATAATAAATAATTCACAAAAAAAGATACATACCAAAATATATATTACATCCAATATGATAAACGCAATTAAAAAAAATAAATATTTCAGCTTCTTTAATTATAAATTTGACAAAAATCATTAATCATTATATGCATACAAATACTCACATTACTTTATTTATATATTTGTGCAAATGCACAGGTCGAATACTAGTTCTTGATTAAGATGGAAAGAGGTTTAATCCTATCCGAATTCCCAAAATGGCCCTTATAAAGTCTAATTGCTCAGTGGTTGAATACAAACATTGTTTCATATATTAGTAATTGCAATGTCACATAATCTTCATTGAGACAATGAGCATTATCCACGGAATCCACATAAGGAACAATTAAATTTACATGTTGATAGGTAGAATGCTGTCACCGCAATAATCAGAAATCCAAGTAAGCCCATGTTGAAGGGAGGTAACACAGCTGATACATAACATGTGCTTAAATGATGGGCAAATATAAGACAAAAAGAATTTAGCATTTTGTCCATCACCCGCTTAATGTTCTGCTTAATGTTTAGCAAATGTAGGAACGCAGATAAGACTGGGCTTATATAGGTGCAGGGGTTTAAGATCAAAGTTTGCCTTCCTAACCAAAGAAAGGCCTGACTAGAAGGGGGCCAAGCTACAAAATATTGTCAAGGAAAGACAAAAGAAAACATCAGCTTTGCGTCCGAGTAAAATCAAGCAGAAACTGCCTTGCATAAAAACCATAAGGACCAAGAAAAAAGAGCAAACAGACACTTATGCGCCATGAAAATCATAAGAAAATGCATAAATCAAAATTATACCAACAAACTAACATAGTTCTGCCTGCCAATCGATGACACGACACCCGACTTATTTGCCACAAAAAGGTTGCAAAACAAATCCTAAATAAACTGTAAGTGCCCAATCTAAGATCAGCCTAAGAACAACACAACAGATATAAAATTTCAAGATGAGCAATCAAACAATATCAAACCGGATATAAGAATCTACTAAGAACGAAAAATATAAGAATGAATGTATGCGAACAGAACAATCAGCTGCCAAAAAAATGACAAGTTACTGCCTTCAGTGCTATAACTGACAAGGCTCGCTAAGCAGAAACCAAGCATAACTAACAAATAAGTAGCTCGAAAATTATCATCCCAAATGAGTATAATTTAAAATTAAAAAAACGGATGAAAAATATGTGCAGAACAAATGGATGAAAAGGCAAATTATTAAATAAATAAAAAAAATAAAAAACAGTACCATTTTAGCGAGCTTTGATCGGAGAAGATCGAGGGGATTAGACAAGAGGAAATTTAGGGTTAAAAATAGGACATCTGGTTTTAGAGGTAGATATTTAGAGAGACAAGAACTGCGTTTTGAGAGTGAGACCCAAATGACAGCATCCTTATTTCAAAGAGAACAAGTAAATGGACATGGGAAATGTCAAGAGTGCCCTTGAAACGCTCCCCTTCGTACTTTCGTTGTTCGCTATTGGTTGCTTTGTTTTTTTTTTTTCCAACAAAAAAAAAAAAAAAAAAATACGGTTGGGATAAGGGCTTAATTCCCAAAGGGGCCAAAATCATCAACAGTCTACAATAGGGTGGCAACAGCAGTCCCACTCGATCCAGATGTGTGTAGAGAGACATTAATGAGAATGCGGGTTTCGGACCCCGAAAATGAGAAGGACCGAGGGTCGAGACTATCCGAGAAAGCCGAAGAAAGGGCCAAAACCAAGAATGCATGGCTTAATTGACGAGTACGAGCCCGTATGCGAGGCACACAAGCACAAGAGGGGCGACAAGAGTCAATGCGAACGCAGGGTAATCGACGGGAGTCTCGTGTAAAGAAGCGGGTACGCGCAAGAGGAACTCGCGCGATCACAAAGACACGCACACGAAGGTCTCGCATTAGCACTAGGTGCATGAGGTGACGCGCATAGCTCGTATAGGGACGGGCCTAGATCGAGGAGCTCACATGGGCGGGAACCATGGCAGCAGACGTGAGTCGACCCAACCGCAAGGGCGCAAACACGCGCATTGGCATAGACGTGCATGGACGAGATCACGCCTCAAACGGACGCGCCATCGAAGGTTTCGGGATGCACATCGAAAGAGCGAAACCTGGTGGGGAAGGCCAAGGCACCAGGTGGCTCGAAGAAATGGAAGGCACGCAAATCGGGTGGCAAACGGTCGCAGCACACGCACACGGATGCACAGACAGCGCATAGGCGCCCAGTGGCGCGCGGGACCACGCGCAGACGGGCGCGCGCGCAGGAAGACTGCAAGCAGTGCGGACGCGGGCAGACACGCGCTGACGAAGATCGTGTGTTACGATTGTCGATAAGCCACGAACCCGTGCCTTGAATCGTCGATAGGTGTTTCTCTAGCCACAACTGCGCCTATTGAAACGAATAAAATTGCAATAGAAATCTAAAAGAAATCTAAGACAAAGTATTTGAACAGAAGTTCGGATTATTATTGATAAACTTGATGATTAAAAATAACATGGGGAATGGCCTTTATATAGGAACCAATTATATCTAGTCCTAATCTACCTAAGGAACTAATAAAGCAATAAAATATTAAGTATCATAGTATAATAAGGAAACCAAATAATCTAGAGATCATTGCGTGTCTTGCACTCCAAGTACTTCCTCTCTCTCTCTCTCTCACGTATGACCGCCTCACGGCTGCCATCCGTGCGCGCCGCCTCGGTCCACGCCCTAGTCCTCGAGGACTAGGGCACCGCCTTCCGCGCATGCCTCGTCACCCGGCTGATGCGGAAGTGGGTTCCGAGCCCTGACGACGAGAAGGTCCACAAGCCAAAACAACCCGATGAGGCCAGAAAAAGAGCCAAAAGACACATGCATGGCCTAAGAGACGGGTACGAGCTCGTATGCGAGGTCGCGCATGGAGGTACGCAAAGGAACGCGAGAAGATGGTCCATAGGCGTAAGATGTTCGGGCGCAAGAAAGGGCACATTCAAGAAAGGCGCGAACACGCGCACTGGCGTAGACGAGCACGGAAGAGGCCACGACACAAGAGGACGTGCCATCAATGGTTTCGGGGTGCTTATCGAAGAAGTGAAACCTGGTGGGGGTGGCTAAAATACCAGGTGGCCCGAAGGAATGGAAGGCATGCTAGTCGGGTGCCCAACGGGCACTATGAACGCACATGGGCGCACAGCACACGCGCAGGTGGCCAGTGGTGCACTGGGCCACGTGCAGACGGACGCACGCGCAGGCAGCCCGCGGGAAGTTCGGGCGCGCGCAGGTACGCGCTGATGACGGATCGGGTGTTGCGTTCCCTCGACTTGTCTCGATCACGGCTTCGCCACAGCCTTGCTCTCGACGATAGGTGTGATCGACTCGGTTATTAGCCTAACTCTCTCACGATACTTGAGTTCACTCGGGTATTACCCTCGCTACACTCTCGAAATAGATCGGGTCTTAGCCTCTCTAAATCGTTGAACTGGCTCGGGTCTTAGCCTCACCAATTCGATTTGTATGATCGAATCTCACGACTCTCAATACACGGTTTCGAACAAACGTTCTTTTCTATTTCATCATTCTTCGACATTCAAAACAATGAGGGAACATCCCTATTTATAGATCCTAACTAAGACTAATTCCAATCTACCTAGGAAACATTTTAAAGCAATAAAATATTAAATTCCTAAACATTCTAGATATTATTGTGCAAGAAGGAAACTAAATATCTAAAGTCCTAAATTGACTAGATCT